CAAAAGTATTTTTTAACTCGGAGTTTATTCCTCCTGGTTCATGACAATGTGTTAAAGCAAATCGGTTCCCTTTTCACTCCTTTCTGCCTGTCACTCTGCCTTATCTGATTGAATTGTAAACTTTTCAAGACAAAGTCTAGCTTTTACTTTACTGTTTTATACCATGATCTGGTTAACCTATTTTTCCCTCTGGCATTTACCAGTTTTCATCTATGCAAAGCCCACGTGTACTCTAAAGCTTATGAGAAAGTCATATCATTTGATTACAAATAACTGTAATATGCTCAGGCTGTGTGATTTTTTTTAATGTGTTAGTTTGGTTTCTATTTGACTCTCCTCGCAATCTGGATTAACTTTTTTTATAAGCAGGCAATGGCTTTTTTGCCATCCTATTAAAGCTTTTTGTGTGAAAGTTTAATAACATGCTTTGAACCTTCAAAGTCTCCTATTAGATCCATTAGGATTTTTTTTTTTTAGCCAAAACTAAGGCTTTCAAAGTTCTAATTAACAGCAAATAGCTATGCTTTTAGGACATATTTTATTTCTTTACTTCTCATCTCCAGTGCATTACAGTATTTGTAAATATGATTTTCTTAAAAGAGAGAAATTATTAAAGTTTATTAAGTCTGCTCACTAAAATAGTGATCACCTTTGAAGTGAATAGATTTCTGCTGTTCCCCATTAGAACAATCTTTTAAAATTATGCCTGTAACCATGAGATAACAACATGAGATCTTATTCTCTCTTGCTTTTTTACTTCATTTATGATTGTACAGGAAAATCAATTTTACATGTCCCTAATTTCAAAATCTTCTCTTATTAAGTGGTTATGTATTTAATTCTTTTATTTTTGCCTGGTATGATATTCAAATTAATTTTCCTGCGAAGGTGAGAAAGCAGTTCTGTAAAGTGATCTGCACTATTTTAGCTGCCTACAGTGCTTCCTGATTCATGTCATAATCCTAAATTTGTGACCTAAAGTAGATTTCTAGTCCTCCTGATCTTTCTTTTCCCCCTTAGAGAATGGCTAGTAGTAATTCTGTCTTTATCTGAGATTCACCAGTGTGGCACAACCGCCTCCCCTTCCATAACTTAATATATTTGCAGAAAGATTCTAGGGAGACAGTTATTTCATGGGCTAAAGTCTCATACACAGCCAGATCAGCCCATGTTTAAAGAGAGTTACAATCAGTTTCAGCTGCATATGTCTTTGCCCATAAACCTGCAGGTTTATTTAAAGCAAAACTTAAAACTGTGGCTTATAAACCAATAGACTGATATTAAATTGTTAGCAGCATTTGTGCAAACATTGTCACATGGACATTTAATTCAATAATTTATTAATTTCAAATTTTCATTTTGAAATACTACCTTTTAAAGAAATCCAGAAAATGTTTCAGTTAAGCTCCAAGTGAATTTGATGGCAGATGTTAAATAGTCTCGCTCTTTCTTTTTTCTTCTTAAAAGAAAATGCCTTGTACTATCAGTTTCCTATAGTATTGGTCATCTGGCTGGCTAGTGTCTCAAGTTATTTAAGATTATTTTTAGAAAGGCACTCTACTTGGTTCATCTAATTAGGCCAGGCAACTCAGTTTTTTCTTTCATGTTTTGAACCCCCATTTTCTGGTGGTTACAGTATTCTGTTTTTCTTTCTATAGTGAGTACAGTAGAATTCAAGTACGATGTGACAAGGTATTTGTGTTATGTGATATGAAAAAAGAAAACCTCTTACCAAATTCAGAAAGTAAACTTAAACTCTTTGAATACATGTCAGTCTGGAACTGTCTCCCCCCTGTCTGCAAAAATGCCCCTTTACCCAAAAACTCAGTTTACTTGAGGTCAGCTATATATTTCTCCTTCCCTACTACCATACTAGGGTCCTACACTTACGTGTTTTTCCTAGCAGTCTCTACAGTAAAGCGGGTACCCATTTATTCATTATAGCCTTTTCTGCTAACCCCATTCCTGGCAGCCATTTATGCATTCTCCTTCACAGGCTATTGAAGAAATATTTTCTGCCTCTACTAACATAAATGTTTTCAGGAACTTGTTAGGCTACTATGGTAATTTTTTGTACATGTATTTGTATATGTATTTTATATCTATTTGTATATATATTTCCATATATAGTAGATATGTAAAAATATCTTACTGTATATTTTCTTTGCATAAACCTACACTGCAGTACCCTGTGAGCAAAATTACCAGCTTCTACAAGCCACAGAGGACGTTTTCCTGAGAAGCGCAGCTAACTTGCTTGCGCTGGCTTCTGTGTGAGGCCTTATGAACTGAAAGAACGTAGTACAGGAATTAGTGTATGTATAAAGTGTTTCCTGCTTCACGTTTCTCATCTTCAGAAAGCCCCCTCTGTCTAAGCAGCACGTGGTATTTTCTCTTTGAAAAACAGCTAAATTATTCCTTAACAGAAACTGCTATACAGAATTGCATTTTAACTTCACCTTGCAGTCACAAAACAGTACATTTAGAACACTTTATTTTAAAGAAAATGCTTTGTGAGAGCCAACCCCTGAAAGAGAGAGAGAATGGAAGAGTGAATACACAGCAGACGGCTGACTTCTGTGACAGGGTCTTCTGCTCTACATCCAAGTAACGCCCCTCCCTCTAATGTACTAGTCACCTTCGCTCAGCGGTGTCACACAGGAAGGCTGAATAAAGGCAAACACTGAGCAGCAGGAAAAGTGGTTGCAGTAAATGAAATAGCAGCGCTGACAGCCATTCATTTATTTGGTGTCCCTGGCTTTAACTACTACAGAGCACAACACAGTCTGCCCTTTGCAGACTGAGGAAGGAAAGAGCAGTTCCCCGCTCCAGTCCGTTTCTGAGCAGGTTTTAGTTGATTTCAAAACGAAGTCAGATATATGCATCTAAGGGCAGTGATCATCTGCTGTAGGTAAACTCAGTAAATTAGTATAGGAAGGTGCCTTTCCGGTTTTGTTGAAATTAGGTTCGTTGTTTGATCTTGAGTCACCGTAAATTACACTTAGTGCCTCTGAATTTGTGTAGATGACAAAAATCCCTGTTTATAAACTAGTTGCTGCAACATACAACAGCATTCGCTGCTCCACAGGCAAGGCCACAAAGGACGAGAGGCAGTCATCACTGACCGCTCTCTCACTGCCCCCTCAGTCCTTTCTTCCTCGTTTCTTTTTCAGCTCTTGTGCTATTTGTGGCTACTCTTTACCTCCTGCTCCTAAAATCACAACTCCTACAGGGCTCTTGCAGCCCACCAGAGTTTTATGTGCGGGGGCAGGGACACGTCGTGGGGCTTTCCTTGCTGCGGAAAGCAGAAACGGGCGAAGCGCCGGCGGCCGCCCACGTGGGGAGGAGTGCACTGCCGGTGCCTATGTGGGGAGTGCAGCCGCTGCCTGCCCGGGCCGGGGGG